ATCGCGGGGGAGGTTAGCAGGGCCTCTTTTATGGCTGCATAGGCTCTCTGCTGCTCATCTCCCCAAGTAAAGAGAGTCCCTTGCTTCGTGAGTGGGTAAAGTGGCGCAGCCATTTCCGCAAACCCTGGAATCCAGAGGCGGCAGAACCCCGCCGTACCCAGGAACTCTCTTAGCTGTCTCAGGCTTTTGGGCACCGGAATCTTTAGGATTGTCTGTTTCCGCGCCTCTGTCAACCATCTCTGTCCATCTCTGATTTGGTAGCCCAGGTATGTAACCTGCCTCTGGCATAATTGGGCCTTTTTGGCTGAGGCCCGGTATCCTAAGGTTCCTAAGGTCCTCAAAAGGGCCTTGGTTCCTTCCTGACATTTTTCCTCGGCCAGGAGGAGGTCATCAACATATTGGAGCAAGATTAAGGCAGGGTAGTGAACCCTAAAGTCGGCCAGGTCCCGGTGCAACACCTCATCAAATAAGGTGGGGCCTAATTCCTTGGTAAGCTTCATGCGACATCGGGTATTGCTTAATGGAAATAGGAGTTGCCGATGCCTTTAAAGTAATTACCAGGGGCGGTTGGTAGGTTGCGAGACCCACTCCCCCTGTTTCCGCCCAGGCTAAAGGGAATTTTTCTAACCAGACAGTCATTTCTTGCGGCCGAGGCCTTTCAGGCTCGTGAAGCTGGTATTCGTCCTCCAGATTTATGGTTAACACATGTAAAGGCTACCCCTGTGGCCCAGTAATGTGGGCCTTAGTCCCATCAAAGTGGATTTGTGCCCTGAGTTTCATTAATAGATCTCTCCCCAACAGAGGATAAGGGCAATCAGGAACATGTAAAAAGGAGTGAGTCACCTTACCGGTGGCGAGTTGTACTCTTCTTTCAGTTGTCCATCGGTACCTTTTCCCTCCGGTGGCTCCTTGAACCCACGCCGATTTGTCAGTCAGGGGTCCCGATGAGGTGGTGAGCACCGAATGCTGGGCTCCGGTGTCCACCAGGAAGGTGACGGGTTGCCCCCCCCACATTAAGGGTTATCCTGGGTTTAGGGGGGGGGCTCCTGACCCTGACTTCCCTAATCCTCCAGGTTTAGCAGGGTGGCCTGAGGCTTAGGCTTCCGTGGCCCTTTTGGTCTCTTTGGGCAGTCTCGGACCCAGTGCCCTTTTTCCTTACAGTAGGCACATTGATCTTTGTCTACCCGAGGACCCCTGCGGTCTCCCAGGCCCTGTCTATCCTGTCTCTGTCCTGTCACTACAGTGGCCAGCAATTTGCTAAATTCCCTATTCCTCTTGCGGTCTTCTAATGTTCTCTCTCTCTTCTGCCTCTTTTCTCAACCTTTCGTCTCTCTCTTCTTGAGTCTCTCTCTTGTTGAAAATCCGCTCCGCCTCTTTCAACAAATCCTGGATTGTACTTTCCCTTAAGTTCTCAAGCCTTTCTAATTTTTTTCTGATATCCGGGGCAGACTGCCAGATGAAGGACATGGCCACATTGGTAGCCTGGTTAGGGTCCTCCGGATCATAGGGGGTGTACACACGATAGGCTTCCTTTAGTCGTTCTAGGAAGGCAGAGGGAGATTCCTCTGACCCTTGGGTCACTAACTTAACCTGGGCCAAATTAGTGGGGCGCTTTGCTGCCCCATGGAAAGCCGCTATCAGCAACTGGCGATAGAGACGTAAGTGATTCCTACCGTCCTCCGTGGCGAAGTTCCAATCAGGTCGTTCCAAGGGGAGGGCCTTGTTGATCTCGTTTGGTAACTGAGTAGGCTGCCCGTTATCCCCCGGAACGTTTTTACGGGCTTCCAAAATGACCCATTGCTTCTCCTCGGTGGTCAGGAGGGCCTGTAACAGCTGCTGACAATTGTCCCAGGTGGGCTGGTGGGTTACTAAAATGGACTCAATTAAAGCAGTAAGTCTAGAAGGGTCCCTAGAGAAAGGGGGGTTATTGTTTTTCCAGTTATATAGATCTGAAGTGGAAAAAGGCCAGTATTGGAGCTGGCCATCGGGTCCCGCTCGGAATGGGAGAGCCTGAGATGTGGAATCTGGAGGGGCCTCTCGGCGCCCTCTCAATCGCCCTGCCATCGGGGAAGGAGCCGGTTCCTCCTGAGGTCCGACTGTGGCGGCTTCTCCCGGCTCTCGGTCCCTATAGGGAGGAGGTTCTTTGGTCAGCAGGTCCAACAAGGGGCCATCGTCTGCTGGCAGTACCGGGGGCGTCGGTGTCTTTTTGCCCCCTGGATCACGTCCTTGGGTCTGCTTTGTTATAGCTGGGTAGAGGGCAGACTTAGAGGGTGTGGGGACCAGCGGAGGAGGTAGGGCAGGGGCAGAGGGAACAGCAAGGGGGCTGGGGGTGACAAACGGCTTGACCCATGAGGGTGGTTCCTGGGCCAGGGCTTCCCAAGTAACAATGTAGGGTACCTGGTCTGGGTGGCCATATAGCCCTAAATCCATGATTTTCGCCTTAACCTGCAAAATAATATCTAGGTTAAAGGTGCCATCTCGTGGCCAGCTGATGTTAAAAGTTGGCCATTCTGAGGAGCAGAAGGTGTCCCATTTTCCTTTTCGGATCTCTACAGAGTGACTACGAGCGATGTTCCGGGTGTCCTTCCAGTGCTGTAGAGTGAGGCTTAAGGGGGTAGTTAGAGACTGTCCCATGGTTTCAGAGAGACTAACACCAAACACAAACCCGACGAACAATAGACAGACAGTGACACAAATGCAGCGCGCAACACGATTCTGGCGCCAAACCGAAAGCAAAACTTCAGCTGGAGACTGTGAAGAGGGTCCGGATCCCCCGTCTCCCAAAAGAGACACGTAGCCCTCGGACAGGGGCGAAGCCCTAAAAAGTCCGGGTTGGGTCGTGTCTCCAAACAGACGGGCCCCCAAAATCGGGCCCCCAGACACTCCTGGGACGTCTCCCAAGAGTTGCGGAAAAGAAGTCCGAGCTCGTCAGCTCCTTCTAGTTTCGGCCTAATACAGAGCGACTCAGCTGAATCGTACAAATCTCAAGAGATAGAACAGGCAACAAACACATGATGGAACGAGGACAAGAGACACTCTACTGGCCAGCTTACCTCCCGATGATGGGTCGGTGGTCCCTGGGCGGGGGTCTCAGATCTCGGTGGGACCTCCAAATGAAAGACTCCCGTTAGAGCCTCTCTAGATGGGGAGACCCCGCTTCCCAAGGAACAGCGAGACCAGTCTTTGGATGCAAGCCGCAAGAGGTTTATTTCGATACACGGGTACCCGGGGCGACAAAGCCTTTCGGAAGACTTGCGCACCTCTCGGTTGGGGTGACGGGTTTTTATAGGGCTCGGGAGCAAGAAGCACGGTTACAGAAGCGAGAAGCATAGTTACAGGGATCTGATTGGGCGGTTTGAACAAAGCCATAGTTAGGTCACGTACCCGGAACAGGGAAGGCGGGAAGGCAGATGTGAGCCGAGTCACGTACCCGGTTCTTATCTTGGGTGCCCAGAGTGTTTCAGGCGCCCAACCGCAGATATCCTGTCGTTGGGCATCTGTCCTGCCTTGCCTCTGACCCTGCACTGCTCCAGTCTTACAAAATAGTGTTGCCAGCATTATGCTAGGGCTTTATTCTTTCACCCTTATTACGGAATCCACTTGGATACTGAGCTTCCATGGGCTACATCTGTGCAGGGGTTCTAGGTTATCTCCATGCATGGTCCTTGGTTGGACTATCAGTCTCAGAAAAGACCCTTGTGCCCAGATTTTTGATCCAGGAATTTTTAAGGGAATGGGTATGAGTATGATTTGGGATAGAGAAGGTGAAAATGGTATTTAGGAGGGAAAAGTATCCTTTTCAAGCAGGAAGAGATAGCAAAAAGTGTTTCAGGTGGCGGGATTGGCTCTGGGTGGGTACATCTGAATCCTTCAAGATTATAAGGAGATAAGAATGGTATGAATCATGTTGCCTCCAGGACTCCTGAGGGCTGAAGGCTTCCCTGTAAGACTGACTAAACCAGAGTTCAGTGGATGCAAGGAAGGAGATGCTGAGTGGACACTGGGATCATAGCTTGCATAGCATCAGAAACACTTCCCTCTCAGGGGAAAACAACATTAGCTATATCTAATATCACTTCCATTCAATATATAATTGGAGTTCCCTGCCCAGCACCTCTAGCCACAAATACTGCCAAAGGCTTCACAATCATTGTAAGTGAATGATGGTCCCACCTCTCACCTGGAACACTGAGTTCACCTGAGCCACTTCATAACATCCCTGACAAGAGAACAGCAGTTCCCACTTGTCTGTGAGAAAGGAAATCTTACCACTGAGTTAGACAGCCTAGCTGGTAGTATCAGGTAATTTCTCTTTTCCTATTTAGCTAAAAAATTTTCCTCTTTACAGTCACTCTGTATTTATCCTCACACTTCCCCGAAAAGTTTATTTATGTGTTCCTTCCTTTCAGTAGCTCCTCACATGAACCATGGAGGTGTTCTCCTTCTCTAAGCCTGCTTCTCCCTAAAACACAGCCCAGTTCCTACCGACTCCTCCTTTGGCATGGTTGTGACATTCCTGTCACTCTGTTTCTGGTAGATTGGAACTCTGGCTGCTGTTTTTCTTCTTCATGGGCGGAAGCAAGTTCTCAATGTTGGGTATTGGGTGCAGTCTAATCAGGGCCAGCTAGCACAGGGGAAATCCAGGATGAACTTACACAGTGGAGAGCCAGAATGATCCCAGTCATTATGGCTCCTTGCTGTCCCCAAGGGTCACAATGGAATCATGAGTGTTCTGTGTCCTAGAAAGGCCTAGAGGAAATAGACAGAGGTGTTAAGATGGAGCTTTCTGGGTAAAGTTCTCAGCAAAAAAAGCTCAGTGGTGATTAGAGTGGGAAACATGGAAACTGTTACCCCTGGCCCACCCCCGCCCCATAAGGTAATGTAGAGGGAAAACTCAGCAGAGTCATGCTGTGGATCAGAAGGAACGGGGAGGTAGCCAGGGTTCCACAACAAATGGAACAGCCTCCTGAATGTTTTTGTTTTCATTTTTGTATTTGCAGGAGACTCCCTCAGCTATCACCAGGGACGCCCTTTCTCCACTGAGGACAGAGACAATGATGTTGCAGTCACCAACTGTGCCATGTCCTACAAGGGTGCTTGGTGGTATAAGAACTGCCACCGGACCAACCTCAATGGGAAGTATGGGGAGTCCAGGCACAGTCAGGTAAGCCACAGTCTGGCTGTGGTCAGAGTGGTGGGAGAGTCCAGGACTCAGGCCTTCAGTTCTACCTTTCAACAATGTTTCCCCTTTAAAAAGGAATACTCTGAGACTGGGAAAAGACCATGCAAGGGGCTCGTAGTAGGAGGAACTCATCAATTCATCATAGGCTGTAGGCTTGATGGCACTCTAACAGAAAGGAAGAAATCAGAAACCTAAGTAATCCCCCAAGAGACTGCAGGCCCACAGTCTGGGCTAGGTGACAGAGGAGCAGCTGGAACATGCTCTGGCAAACCCCAGAAGTTGTTTCACCCACCCCACTGGAAACCACCCGAGTCTCTGGATCATGAATGAGCTGTTCACAATTCCACTGTTCAAAATGCTTCCACCTAGTTGGGATTTGGGCATTCACTATAGTCCCCGAATATGAGAACCTCCTGAAGGCAAAAACACAAAACTGGCAATAAGAAATGACTCATGACTTGCTTTTTTATAAAGACCGAGGCCTATGTAAAGGGGAAGCTGGAAAGAGACCCAGCTCACTCCATCATACTGGGAACTCTGTCATAAGCTGCTTGTTAACTGAGTGAGAACAGTTAAGTTCATAAGTGGATCTCTCAATCCAGTAGGGTGCTCTGCTGAGGGGGAAGGGCGATCTGACATGTTCCTCTTTCTCACACTTAGGGGATCAACTGGTACCACTGGAAAGGCCATGAATTCTCCATCCCCTTTGTAGAAATGAAGATGAGGCCCTACAATCACCGTCTCACAGCCGGGAGGAAACGGCGAGCCTTGAAATTCTGAGCACTAGGCAGCCAGCCGCCAGCCAAACGATCTTTTTCTGTCATTTGTTTGTATTTTATAATATGAGACAAGGGGGGAGGGGCAACCATAATGTGCTTCACAGTATATTCAGAGTATCTGAAGGAAGCAGGGATCAGTTAGGTACCATCTGCTCATAGTTTCTGCTGCCTTGGAGCCCTTCCCTCGGGCTACATGCTCCCTGCTAACCACTCCTTTATCACCCCCACCTTTCTCACAGAGGAGGAAACTGGGGAGTTTAATGTACAATTCAGAAACAGGCCACAAAGTACAGATTGTTATGGCGATGCACACACACACACACACACACACACACACACCACACACGCACGCGCGCATCTTTCTCTGCCCTCCTTCTGAAAAAAAAAATCTTCCAACTTCTAACTAATAGTGAACTGGTCACAGCTGACCGTGGTTAGGTGACCACACCAGCCAAGAAAAGCTTCAACAAGAAAGCTTGGCCAATCAGCTCTTAAGAGGGAAGACACCCACCACAGCCTCACGCAACAGTTCATTGAAATGGGCAGAAGAGTCTCACATTCTGACACTTAACTCTCAGGAGGCGTGGCCTCCCTTCCAGCCACACCCATCCTTAATTCTATCCCCTAGATCATATAGACCTACCAACCTGGTTACCAAAGCTGCCTGCTTCTGACCTGGGTCATACAATAGATGTGCCCAGCCCCTGCCCCCACCACCACCACCACCACCACCCGGCCCATGTGTCATAAACCACTGTCGTGGAATAACTTTCTTCGGTGGTGAGACTGGGAAAAGGGTTTTGTTTCTAGCATATTTGCATCTGGCACTGAGAAAGGATAGGAGCAGAAATCAGAGCACCTAGCAGGAAATCTGTAGTTCCCATTGGAAACTGCCCTTGTTTAGTGCTGCCTTTTGCATTTATGATCTGATTTAGTGTTGATTCCTCCCCCTAATGTCATAGGTGAAGGTCTCTCGTTCTTTCCCTGGCCAGGCTATACTCAGTGCAAGTGGCTTAATAAGAATCAGTGGAATAAATTGGATAATCCCACCCCCACTCCAACTGATAACCCTGGGGAGAGATAGAATGTTTGCTCTGGTTGTTCATTTGCTTGTTTTGATCCTGTGGTAAACAGAAGTGACCCCTTCAATGAGGTGAGATCATGAGAAACATTTTCCACCTCCCTTTTTTATTCTGCTTTGAGAAGAAAAATGAAAAGTACCAGAGGAAATTGCATTTAGAACTCCAAAGGTGAGAGGAGCAAACTCTCCACCCCTACATGATTTGATTTTTAAGCCCTGGAGAGCTAGAGGCTGCAGACGCCATGACTTTTAGCCTCTCCTCAAATCAAAAACCAGCCCGTCTTCCCTGCAGCATCTGCCCAAGTTGTGCCAAGTCTCTCAGCCACTTTCTCCCTGTCCTCACTCTTCCCTGAGGCCCCAGTATGTCTGCTGTAGGACCCATGGCTACCATCTGGGGCATCTTGTACCTTTGCCAACTAGTTACTGGATGAGCTGATATCCTGTAATAGAAACAGCCACTGTCTAACCAAACTTTGAACCAGAAGCACCAATCCTCTTGGGCTGACGACCACAGGCCATTGTGACTGACAGTGGAGTTAGCTTGCTATTTTCTGTAGTCTTCTCCATCTTTGTGATTCAGACTCATTGGCATACTCAAGGCTGAAAAGTACAGGTGGAGTTTTCATTTCTTTTTTTTTTTAATTTTTCAATTAGGGCTTAATTTATTTTTAACACAAATAAAGTAAAAACAAACATTCCCTTCTTACAAAGGAAAGAAAACTATATTTTCAAAAGGTTGATAGGCATTTTCGTGACATATTTTGTATGATAGGAAAATATTTTTCTTTTTTAATTTATTTTTTATTTATTACAATTTATTCACTTTGTATCCCAGCTGTAGGCCCCTCCTTCAGCCCCTCCCAATCCTGCCCTCCCTCCCTCTACTCATCCATGCCCCTCCCCCAGTCCACTGATAGGGGAGGTCCTCTTCCCCTTCCCTCTGACTGTAGCCTATCAGGTCTCATCAGGACTGGCTGCATTGTCTTCCTCTGTGGCCTGGTAAGGCTGCCCACTGCACCCCCCCCCCTCAGGGGGAGGTGATCAAAGAGCAGGCCACAGAGTTCATGTCAGAGACAGCCCCTGTTCCTCTTACTAGGGAACACACTTGGAGACTGAAATGCCATGGGCTACATCTGTGCAGGGGTTCTAGGTTATCTCTATGCATGGTCCTTGGTTGGAGTATCAGTCTCAAAAAAGACCCCTGGACCCAGAATTTTTGGTTCTGTTGCTTTCCTTCTGGAGCTTCTGTCCTCTCCAGGTCTTTCTATCTCCTCCCTCTTTCATAAGATTCTCTGCATTCTGCCCAAAGTTTGGCTATGAGTCTCAGCATCTTGTACAACCACTCTGGAAACCAGTCTGGCACTTCCTCAGAAAATTAGGAATAGTGCTACCTCAAGATCCAGCTGTACCACTCCTAGGCATATATCCAAAGGATGCTCAACTATACTACAAGGACATTTGCTCAACCATGTTCCTAGCAGCTTTATTCATAATAGCCAGAACCTGGAAACAACTCAGATGTCCCTCAACTGAGGAATGGATACAGAAATTGTGGTACATTTACACAATGGAATACTACTCAGCAATTAAAAACAAGGAAATTATGAAATTTGCAGGCAAGTGGTAGGAACTAGAAAAGATCATCCTGAGTGAGGTATCCCAGAAGCAGAAAGACACACATGGTGTATATACTCACTTACAAGTGGATATTAGACACATATGATAAATATACTAAAATCTGTATACTTAAAGAAGCTAAGCAAGGAAGAGGACCCTGGGTAAGATGATCAATACTCATTCAGAAAGGCAAGTGGGATGGATATTGGAAGAGGAAGAAAACAGGGAACAGGACAGGAGCCTATCACAGAGGGCCTCTGAAAGACTCTACCCAGAAGAGTATCAAAGAAGATGCTGAGAGTTTTCATTTCTTAATCCCACATGGACTTCAAACATCTTTAAGAGAAGGAAGAAGAAAGAGAAGCCTATACGTTATATGAGGTTTAACTATACATAGGCCAATCATGCAGAATTGAAGGTGAGCACGCTCAGTGGGTGATATAGGGCCACTTCTGCCAGCTATAAGCCCCTGATGGGTTTGTTCCCATCTCTTGACTTCAGTTTCCTTACCCATTGAACAGGAGTTTAGACCATAAGGATTTCTAATGGCCCTTCAGTCTTAACAGCCAATAATGTGAGTCTATGATAGGAAAAGCAGAATCAAAGTTGGCCTTGTGGAGCCATAGCAATTAAAGAAAAATCAGAATTCTTGTGAAGGAGATGGGGGAAGGAGGGAAAGAAGGGAGGAAGGAGACCAATTCAAAATTCTTCCCCTACACATACATGCACACACGCACACACGCACACACACATGCTCTTGCAGGAAAAAAAAATGCCAAAAGAAGCTGAAGCCATTATGTCCGTGAAAGCAGAGCCAAAGACGTGGGTGTGCCTAGACAGCCCACCTCATCAAGGGAGCTGAAATGGAACAAAATTGCAAGTCATCTGTTCCAGGAAAAAAAAAAAAAAAATCAAGGAACATTAATGGAGATCCAAATCTGCCTTTCATTGGGACTATTTTATCCTGTGGAACATTTTTATAAATAGTATCGGCAGCGTCACCGAGCTTCATTTAAAGAAATCTTAAAGTAAGGAAGAGACTTCAAAGATCAGCTCATCCAACCTTCTGTAAAAGTGTCTATAGGTCCCTTTCGTTAAGTGCAACAAGTCTCCCCAAACTCTTATGTTTTGAAGAGACTGTGCATTCCACTCTCTTCCCATCCTTGGCAAGCTTGGCTCACAGTTCCTCAACGTCACTGACTTAACTTCTTCACTGGGCTTCTTAACTGATTCCTTTTTATCTGCTCCTTCCCGTGCCTGGTTTTGTCCCTGAGGAGGCAAGCATCGATGCTCAGCACCCATCCGAATCACCCAAGTTTCCCATAAGAGACTCAGAATGACTGGCAGTGAGCCCGGTCCTGAAGACACGTCAGAAAGTACACTTACAAGAAAATTCAAGCAACAATGACAACAATCACAAAACAGCAACCGCCATTCACTAGAGACTGCCATGGATTCGCTGCCTAGAATGGAGAGCGAGTACCCTCTTCCTCTTTGCCTGCCCTGTCATAGAAAGATTGTGTCCATATTGAATTAAACATTTTCGCAGGGCTACATCTAGAAGATGAAAGGGATCAGTTGTGAAGACTGTTTGTTAGGGATGACAATGTTGCAGAAAGTGTTGGCCTTCAGACTTATGGGTAAAGGGGGACTCTTATAGGTAAGAGGCACAGGGGGGCACTCATAGCTGCCAGATGTACACTGAACTGTGTGTTAGAAGTGCGGCAGGAGGCAGCGTAGTTCTGGTTCCGGAAAACTCAAATCAAACCAAGACCCAGAACCCATTTATACAGGAAACAGATTTGTAAAAGAACAGCAACACAACAGTAGAAAAATGTGGAGCAAACTTCCACAGATATTTAAATGTTCCCTTCTCCTAGCTACCAATACCCTCTCTTTAAAGAGGTGAGACCCCACTCCTAATATCCCACTGCCTTCCACTGAGGAGCCAAGCAGCCCCTAGTAGATAGAAAACTACTAGGCAAATTTTCATTCCAGAGTGTCAAGGCTGCCTTGCCAGCAAGCTCGATGCCTAAACAAACTATCCTAAACACATTTTTACCTTTAAAATCTAGTATCAGGACAGAGCTATAGATTTCAAGACAAGAGGTCATTACAGAATCTTTTCAAAGAGCTTTTTCAAAGAATCCATTGAGAAAGGTTTGATGAGTTCCTTTTGTCCTTTTCTCTAAAGAGAGAAAAATTGGGACCTATGAGAACAGTAGATGCACCAAGCCAAGGGGTTGAAAAGGGGCAGTCAGTGACTACATTTGAAAATGCTCCTGAGGCATGGACTTTTCTTTTGCCTTCACCCAGGATCTCCAGAAGGATGGAGGCACTTCCTGGAAAGACATGCTTTTCTAACTAACCCTTGCTTTCTAATCACCAAACTCCTATTCAATATAGTCCCTTGGTTGCTTTTCTTTCTCTCTTAAGAGGGAGATGGGAGATCATTTTCCACCTCTACTTGCATCCTACTGACTACTCTGAAATGTCCATAAGGAGACTCTGAAAGACTCAAATAATTCAATTTCAGACCTAGAGGAGGCGAGATAATGCTTTGCTCACCTCAAACTTTCCCAGGCTACACAAAGATGCTTGGAATTTCCAGAGACTGAGGTGGATCATTAAGGTCTGGGGTTCAACTACTCATCCATTCTCCCTGGGTGGTCTGCTTCCATTCAGATAACAAAACAGCAAAGGTTCCCTCCTCTGGAAAAGGGGGACAGAGCTGGCTTCTAGGATGTGGCTGGTAGCTTCTCTTTCTTGTACTGCTGGGTCTTCAGAACAAATTTTGTAAGTTCTTTGACTAACTGCTTCTCTAAGCCTTTGCTTCTTCCATAGCCCACCTCTCCCATATGTATTACTCCTGATAATATTGCAGCATTTCGGCACTGCCAGGGAAAATGAGAACTCACAGAACAAATGAAAACTACTCAAATTAAGTAAGGAAATCAACTCTGGTAGGAAGAGATGTCACCAGGATCAGGGGAGGCTCCTGTTTTCAGAGGCTGTGTGTGTTCGGTGCAAACTAGGGTCCCTTTGAAAGACTGGCTTTGGTTCATCCTAACTAAATCCACAATGGATTTAGTTAAGCCATTTATGTCTTCTTCAGGCTCTGATAAAATAGCTTAGAAGAAGAAAAAAATGCAAGTTAAATAAAAGAAGCTGATGGAGTCTTACAACATGAAAGCAAACTTTAGAGATGGCCCCACAGTGGAAACAGAAACCGCGTGAGTGGCCCACAGTAAAGGCAGCAGCATCGGCTTCTCAAATTGGCAGCCTCACTGCACAGAAGCAAGAAGCAAGAAGCAGAAGGGCTGCTTTTGCTGCTCAACCAGTCTTGCTTGCCTCAACCTCACTTTTCTTTTCCCAGCTAGCACAGCCTAATTGCTCATCTCAGGCATGTCCGATTTATTTTTCCAGGGTCACTCCTTGCCTGAAACATGACTTCATTGCACTTTGTTGACCAAATGTCCTTGGCAAACCTCGCAGTCTTTGGATAGTGTTACTTTGTTTCCAAATAAGAAATCCTCCCTCCTCCCATAGTTTAAGAAGCCTATTGCAGAGCGTCTGTTCAACACCACTGGCGCTGGTTGGGAAGATCTCTATTAACTTAATAGAACATCTTCTATCTGAGCTGTGATGCTGGGCTAAAGCTCAATTTCTAATTTAGGAATATTTAATCCTCACAAAGCCCCAGAATGGACACTCTCCAGAGTACAGTCATTGGTTAGTTGCTACCATGGAGAGAAAATACAAGGGTCTCTGGTGTTCTGCACTATACTCGGGAAGCCTGAGCCACACCAGGGCCCAGGGTTAGTGTTGCAGGGGGAGGGGGGGAGGGGAATAGACACATGGATAAGAATTCTTTTCTTCTTGTCAGTGGTTTTACAACCCACAGAGAAAGCTGTAGCCTTTAAACAATTTGTTGTTAAACACTGTTATGCTCAAACCTGTCTCCTAGGCAAATATTTAAAAGCACTCTTTCTGAGCCAAAGGAAATTCTGGAGATCATCTACATGACTCTCTCATGTCATACTCAAGAAAAGCAAGGCCAAAATAGGCAG